CTGGGTGGGGAGGTGGGGATGGGTGGGGAGGGTGGGGCTGGGTGGGGGGTGGGAGGGGTGGGGCTGGGTGGGGGGTGGGAGGGGTGGGGCTGGGTGGGGAGGGGCTGGTCACCCCGTGGTGCCCTTATAAAACTCAACGTTTAACCTACTCACGCCGGCTTGTGCCCGCCCTCACAGTCGGGCATATTTGCGGAATACACCACGCCGCCATTGACCCTGGCCATTGACCTAGCAACCCAACGTTCCTACGAGCTCCCTCCGCAGGAATGTGTTACTCGTTCTCAAAGGATGCTCATGATTTTTTTTCGAATTAAGTTACAAAGTGACGGAAGAAAAGCAGGCCAATTGTTGATAATTCACTGGTCAACACACTTTTTCTGGCATAAGGTATTCCAACGGGTTTAAGGTAATTTTTGGGTGCTGATTCCAAATCTATCACATCAGGTTTTTGAGATATCAAATATTGCATTTTCAATAAAAACTGCAGAAGAAAAATATTAAATAAATGTGGATATCTACATAAAATGATATTATAAACACACTATCCTAAAAATACAGCACCATATTTTAACACTAAAGCAGTCACTGACTCGCAACAACTTGCAATCATAAGTGACAGAGTTAATTTCGGGTAAAATCAATGAAAATGGTGTATGCCGATAGCATAACAATGAGATGTGATAGAGCAAATCTGAGATCAGATTTGGAATCAGCACCATGAAATTAGTCTAAAACAGCTGCAAAAGTCCAGGCCAGAAAAAAATGTTTTTTTTTTGTTGGCCAGTGTATAATAGGCATGACAACACGTTTTTATACACGCAGTACAGGATATATAATATATATTTTAAAAACTACTTGAGCTTCTTTTTTAACATGCTCATGACAACACGTTGGAACACGTTCATCTCTTATTTCGCAAGTGACGAATGTTCGACTGCAGCAAGGAGATCGCAAATTACCATCCTGGCTGAATGAAATCCCCTCACCCCACCGTCCACAGTAGGCACGAAGACGTGAAAGCCAGAAGATGACTCTCAGTCCATGTCACCTTCACCACCAGCCTGAGCCGTGTAAATGCGAATTCGCACGTGAATCTACAGACGGTCATCTGCAATGTGTCTAGTCATTGGTTCTGATTGGAAATCGAGCTTAGCACATGTATTTATTTCCCTCTCTTCAATGGGCCTGTGCCCTACTTAGTCCATAGCAACAGTGGGGGCATGTCAGACTTATGACGACCACATCACCCAGAATGCTCCCGCTCGGATCTGACCTCAGAAGCTAAGCATGCAGGGCCGAGCTTGGTTAATGCTTGGATTAGAGACCACCATGAATTAATAACAGGAGTAGTAGGCACTGAGAGAAGTAGAGAGCAGTGCAGGCAAATCCATTATTGTTGTTGTCTCTACTCACACCACTTACATCAAGCCGCACTGACCAGTGTGGTGAAGTATGGATAATTATCCCTCATGACCTGCACAGCGAGGGGAGGCCCTCATCCAGCAGTGGAGTGAAAAAATGAACTGTACATGTGCATGGTCCCCTCTCTGTAAGTCCGAGTGTCCAATTTGTTAAAGGCCTGGCATGCTCCAACGTGTTAACATGCAATATGAACAATCATGACAATTGTTATGATTTTTATATTACCAGTCGCCCCATTATGTCTGCTCGCCTTTTACATCCTAATTAAGCCAATGTTCCCACACACAAGAAAGTTGCAATTGGCTACAAGGAACTGGTATTTCACATTGCTTTCTGCACTCTACTCTGCAGTACAATTTTGATTTATATAACATAAATATACCACACCTCCGATTCGCACGTTTGTCTAGCTACGGTGCGAAATAAGTTCTAGATACAGTATTTCCAGAACTAGCGAAATACTGTTGCATACATGTGTAATGACATAGTGACATCTGCTGGCCGGGAAAGGGAAGCACGGGGTACGGGTACGCTTAGAGTAACAACCAATCAGAGAAGGAGTGGTATCTGGGGCAAATGTAACAGGTGGGGTTAGCCCAGATACTCCGGCCACCTGCTCGAAGGTTCCACGAGAGGGCGTGGCCTGAGGCGGGGCCTAGCCACACCTGGGGGGATATCAGGGTGAGTGGGCTCGGGGCTCGTGTGTGGGGTCCTGTGTCTTGGCTGCGTCGCTGCTCGCCGACATCTCTCTCCGTCGTACGGCCACGTGGTAGATCTCCTGTGTGGTTTCCATCGTCACGCTGCCAGCCAGCGGCGTGGCCGAGCGAGGGCGGTGGGACCACGCCGAGTGATCGGCTGTGTGTAGCCAGTAGAGACGTTATATCTCGTGTTGTACTCAGTGTGAGGAAGAATAAGTGTTGGTCTGTGTTGTGCTCAGTGTGAGAAATAAAAGAAGAAGTACCCTCTACACGGCGTGTCGCGGAAGTCGCTCATTACACATGCACCACTCTTGTCGCGCATTCCACGAAATACATCAGTTCCGTTGCATACAATACGATTGTGATGTACGTCAATGTGTTTTCATATCCGAGTAATTCGATATCACCGCGAGAAATGAGCGATAAAGTCAGTGTGTGCATAGGGTGCCGGGTAGATTCTTGGCAACAGTTTTTTGGGGGGAAGCCTTCATCCAGCAGCGAATTGAGCGTGGCTGTCGATGATGCGTGTACGTTGAACTTCTTTCTCTCCGTACTTAGCCAACTGCGCTAATCGGAGGTGCGGGGGGCAGGACAACAAACTAAACACAAAAAGCAGTTCTAAGGAAATGAGTTTTGAATCTAGATGAAAAAGTGCATAGCTCCTGTGTGTTCATAATATTGTATCGGAAGGCAGAGTGTTCCAGATGGCCGCAGAAGCGCATTTGAAAGCGCGCCATGCAGTGACCGTCTCCGTTCGATGGTCACCCAAAAGTTTCTTCGAGGTTGACCGGAGTTCCTATGACGGTGACGGGAGTCCACGTTGCGTGGCTGATGTAACTGTGTGTCGTTGACACGTGTGTTCGTCATCATTGTATCGCGTGACGCCAAGTCTATCACACAGTGCATCACATACAGTGAGGGAAAAAAGTATTTGATCCCCTGCCGATTTTGTACGTTTGCCCACTGACAAAGAAATGATCAGGCTATAATATTAATGGTCGGTATATTTGAACAGTGAGAGACAGAATAACAATAAAAAAATCCAGAAAAACGCATGTCAAAAATGTTATAAATTGATTTGCATTTTAATGAGGGAAATAACTATTTGACCCCTTCTCAATCAGAAAGATTTCTAGCTCCCAGGTGTATTTTATACAGGTAACAAGCTGAGATTAGGAGAACTCCCTTTAAGAGTGTGCTCCTAATCAAAGCTCGTTACCTGTATAAAATACAGAAACAATCAATCAGATTCCAAACTCTCCACCATGGCCAAGACCAAAGAGCTCTCCAAGGATGTCAGGGACAAGACTGTAGACCTACACAAGGCTGGATTGGGCTACAAGACCATCGCCAAGCAGCTTGGTGAGAAGGTGACAACAGTTGGTGCGATTATTCACAAATGGAAGAAACACAAAATAACTGTCAATCTACCTCGGCCTGGGGCTCCATGCAAGATCTCACCTCGTGGAGTTGCAATGATCATGAGAACGGTGAGGAATCAGCCCAGAACTACACGGGAGGATCTTGTCAAAGACCTCAAGGCAGCTGGGACCATAGTCACCAAGAAAACAGTTGGTAACACACTACGCCGTGAAGGACTGAAATCCTGCAGTGCCCGCAAGGCCCCCCTGCTCAAGAAAGCACATATACATGCCCGTCTGAAGTTTGCCAATGAACATCTGAATGATTCAGAGGCCAACTGGGTGAAAGTGTTGTGGTCAGATGAGACCAAAATGGAGCTCTTTGGCATCAACTCAACTCGCCGTGTTTGGAGGAGGAGGAATGCTGCCTATGACCCCAAGAACACCATCCCCACCGTCAAACATGGAGGTGGAAACATTATGTTTTGGGGGTGTTTATATGCTAAGGGGACAGGACAACTTCATCGCATCAAAGAGACGATGGACGGGGCCATGTACCGTCAAATCTTGGGTGAGAACCTCCTTCCCTCAGCCAGGGCATTGAAAATTGGTCGTGGATGGGTATTCCAGCATGACAATGACTCAAAACACACGGCCAAGGCAACAAAGGAGTGACTCAAGAAGAAGCACATTAAGGTCCTGGAGTAGCCTAGCCAGTCTCCAGACCTTAATCCCATAGAAAATCTGTGGAGGGAGCTGAAGGTTCGAGTTGCCAAACGTCAGCCTCGAAACCTTAATGACTTGGAGAAGATCTGCAAAGAGGAGTGGGACAAAATCCCTCCTGAGATGTGTGCAAACATGGTGGCCAACTACAAGAAACGTCTGACCTCTGTGATTGCCAACAAGGGTTTTGCCACCAAGTACTAAGTCATGTTTTGCAGAGGGGTCAAATACTTATTTCCCTCATTAAAATGCAAATCAATTTATAACATTTTTGACATGCGTTTTTCTGGATTTTTTTGTTATTCGCTCTCTCACTGCTCAAATAAACCTACCATTAAAATTATAGACTGATCATTTCTTTGTCAGTGGGCAAACGTACAAAATCAGCAGGGGATCAAATACTTTTTTACCTCACTGTAGCAGCAACTCGTTGGGTAATGGTGTTTCTTTTTTTCTTTCCCGCACCGCCGATTCGTCCGGTGCGAAAGAAGTTCAACATACATTCATAGATTTACACACACACACTTCCTCCCACCACACACAACTCCCTCCATTCCACCCAGAACAAAGTGCGACGGGTGGTTTGGCCGGCAAACACGCGCAGCCGCCTTTGTCTCCCCAGTGGCGACGTTGACTACACACCGCACACCAGGTACTCATTCGAGGCTGAGTCGACCTAGGGGAGAGCCCAGGACCGGTTCGGATAATCGTCACCGGTGCTGTAGGGGACCCCCCCCCTCAAGCCGCGTGCTTGCAACTGGCTGGCCAAGGCACCCCCCCTCCTCCTCCTCCACACCCCCAGCGGCTGGCTAAGGCACCCAGCACACACTTCCTTGAACTCTGCTTCATGTTCGTAGACCTCGGATCGGCGGCAGAGGGGTGGAAGCCGCTGCCGGACGGAGCACATGAAGCCCGTAGGATACATCTTCAGCAGCAGCAGCAGCAGCCTCTTGTCTGTAAGGAAGGAAGGCTGCTACTCTTACTATCCGACTGCCTGATTATTCACTATGAACAGAGGAACTCTCTCTCTCTCTTCAGTGTCGTTCTATACGTATCCTGCACCTTCACATACATTTTCTAGCTTACATTCATTCATACACAAGTATGGACATATATATACGCGCCCACAAAGTTTTTTGTTTCATTCATAGATGCCATAGATTTACACTCTGCATTACGTCCATGTGCAGAGGGCGCAACTTATTTGCTGCGCGCAACACGGACGCGTGCACGCGCGCAACTTCACGCAGCGCAAAGTCACAGGCGCTGCAATTAGACGACGTCTTCGTAACACGCGCACACATGGAACCACTGTCACACACTCACACGCGCACATTTTAATTCATGCAAAGACACAACAAGGACCGTCACGTACTTTAACACACGCGCACGCGCGCGTACGCACGCGCGCGTCTCGATGCAATCAACGCCTTTGGGAATGCCAGCAAATGTGAAAGCGACGCAACGCATTTCTGGCGTTGTTGTGGGGGTTTGTTTTGTCCCCTGTGGCGCGAACAGTGATGAGCCATGGACGGAGCGGTCCTCCACAAGCAGAGGAGCGAGGTGTCCGAGCTGACATGGGGCTACGACGAAGGTAACAAAGACAAAGGGTCACCGCCATAGATATAGCCTCTAGACGACTGTCGGGGCAAGTGCCGTTTGCGAGTAGCGGCAGCACCGATGCAGGAGGGCACGCCGGCACGGGCAACATCGAGAGGGTTGCGGTGGCCAAAAGGCACAGCGGCATACGGACGCATTTGTCTCAAGCAATGCTGAGATGTTTGCACACGCCACCAGGTACTTATTTGAGGCTGAGTCGACCTAGGGGAGGCCCGCGACCAGTTTTCATATAATCGTCACTGGTGTTGTTGACCGCGAGCGGGAATCGAACTTACGCTCCTCGGTGCGATGTGTGAACATCACCACTAAGGAGACAAAGGCCGTGCCATGATTCATGGGGTGCTACACGCTAAAAGCACTTGCCCCAACAGTCTGTTAAGGCTATCAGGGATGTGGAGTGGGAATCTTTGTCTCACGCGCACCTGCCTAGTGCCTAGCACTACACAAGTTTGTGATTTCACTTCTGTGTCTCCACCACCACCACCAGTAACACTTAACTCGGTCCAGGAAATTACCGCTGTGGGGAGCGGTGGCGCAGCGGTTAGCGCATTGTGCTTCTGCCTTACGGCTGACAAACTTCGGTGGCGAGGGAAATCTGAACCGGTTCCAGGGGCCACCATTCCACTAACCAACCCCGCACTGATCATCGTGGTGAAGTATGGTCGAACAAGCACTGTGACGACGCTGCGTTATTTTTTGGAAAAATCCTGAATTCTGACAATTACAGGAGCGTATCGCAATTCGGCTTTTAATCTCACGTGTGGCTGGTGAATGAGTGAAAGATGTGCGAGTTTTTTTGCAATACTGCTCAGCTGCAATTTACAAAGTGTCTAAGTGTGACTTTCATTTCAAAACGCTGTACAAGAAGACAGGCATGTTGCATTGTTCGATTAAGGAGGGCAAGAACAAATGGATTTATCGACTGACAAAAATAAATAAAAAAAAGAGAAACAGAATCAGAATATGCTTTTAATACTGGAGGAATCCGATGAGCTACAGAGCTCTTATTCACAAACATTCCTTGCGGAAAAGGAGAAACGCCGACTTGAACAGGGGATTGGCATCAGCAGCGTGGACAAATACACAGAGAGAGTTCCGGACGCTAGGAACAACAGCGGAGAAGGAGTGACCTCCCCATAAGTGGAGGTTGACTTGGGGGTGGGGGCAGGGCTCTGATAGGGGACCTAGGTTTCATATTCTTAGGTTTTTTCGGTAAAGGCACGTAGGTAAAAAATTCAAATTAATAAAAGTAAAATAAAAATAAAAATCACGACGTTTCGGAGGCAACACAAGCATCCGTCTTCAGGTGGATAGCTGTATCAAGTGATGCAGCAGTCGTGCTGTGAATGTTCCACCTGAAGACGGAAGCTTGTGTTGCCTCCGAAACGTCGTGATTTTTATTTTACTTTTATTAAGTTAAAATTTTTACCTACGTGACTTTACCGAAAAAACCTAAGAATATGAATCCTTGCAGTCACGAAAGCTTCAAATTTAGAATTAGGGACCTAGGTTGTTGGAGCAGAGACCACGTGATGATGGAGAGTAGAGGGAGATGAGAGGTGAGAGGTATGGGCTTGTCCATGGAGACGAGGAGGGTGCCCTCGTAACACGTGGATGTTATCTTGTGTTAAATACCTGCGTCGTACGTTTTGTGTCTAGTTGCGTGTGTACATTGTGTGCGTGAGCTGCCCTGTACGAATGTCACAAGGCTGGGTTGTTATGCGCTTCTTTGGCCACAGCTTTGGGTTGTATGCAACAGTTGAACAAACAAGAGGGGAGCCGAATGTGAAATAAAGCAACAGAAATCACCTCCTGTCCGCAAACACTGAACAGATTGTGAATGTTGGTACAGTGTTTTCAGAATACTTGCTCTGTGGCTTTTAATAGAAACCATGCATTTGTGTTTAACCTTACCTCAGGTTGTGCATAATTGCTACGTAGCAGTTTGCAATCAGAACAACTGTTGTTTAGGTCATCATGTTGTCAATACACCACGAATGAAATAAGTGCATGTAGCCAATAAACCTTTTGGGGGTTTTTTCACGTTTTATATGACACATATTGAATTGTACGCTTTATGCCGCCAGCTCTATTTGTTGTTTGAAACAAATATTTTTTCAATGGTTGTGAAACGTTATTAGAGGGGGGGGGGGGGGGTGAAAAAAATATCAAGTTTATTGCTGTTTACACCTATACTGCAGTATTGAATTTAATCTGTCACATTCAAGCCAGACTGGGGAAGGTTACTGGGTGTCTCTAACTGAGTTTTGCTCACGCGCATGAACTCGCACAATTACATAAATATTGACCTCAAATGAATTGCCCGTCTTGGAAACACCCAGACAACTCACGCCGCCACAGACAGCCACTGGGGCATGAAGCTGATTGGCCACAGCGGTGAAGATGCGAGCCCCTGTTTTTGGACGAGGGACATTGTCCCCTGTTTTGTGGCCATCCATAGTATTTGTATCACGGTTGAATGATGCGTATCCGTTTCGCTGGGGGAGGGGGGCGTCTGTGGTATGGGCGGGTACGTGAAAAGGTCAGATATGTGAAAATCTATAGGAAACGACTGTTCTGCCGTCATGCACGAATAGCCTACAAAGGTAAAATTAAAGAGAAATGCTTGACAAGTGAGCAGCCGTACGCAACACGAAGAACAAACATTACTGAGTGTGTGAAAAGGCTGGATTCGTGAACATCTGCAGACAATGACAGTTACACCCTGCACAAACACTGCACTGTGTGCGGCCAGTTAATTGGCTGATATGTGACAGTCAGATATGCGGGCGTTGTGCTGTATTACCTTTGTCAGGCGTGCAGAGTCCACGGAGATACCAAGCAGTAGGGTTGCAACAACTCTCCCTCCTCGCAGTTAAATAATTTCCGCAATTCAGGGTCGCAAGCTGATTAAATTCCCTTTTTTTTTTAATCATCGTGGTGAATGTAGCCACAATGATAGCCGGGCGGTGGTGACACGCGCACTGTGGAGGCGAGGGTTGGTGGTTGTGAAACTCCCTTTCCGTGTGTTTGACAGGGAAATGTGTGGTACAGCAAAGTGCGGGCTAATATCATCTGTCTTCTAATGTAGTCTGTCTGCTGTGAATGGGATAAAGCGATGTCCCCTCGTACGCGCGGGGATTCCTTTGAGAGCTCCGGCTTCCTCGAACACGTATGAACACTCATTAATTGGCTTTGAGACATTTAATACGTACAGCTCAAGTGTTTTTCGGATGGTGCAGCGTTGTGAGATGCAACTTGCACGAATGGGTTTCTGCGTTGGCGAGGTGTTAACTCCATCGCCTGGTATGCAGGAGGACGCGGGTTCGATCCCGACCCTGAAGTCTGTATATTTGGAGTTTGCATGTCTTTCTCCCCGCGGTCGTGTGGATTTTCTCCGGGTCCTCAAGTTTTCCCCCTCCATATTTTGAATCGACGCGTGGTTAGAGGATTTGGCTGCCATAAATTTCCACGTGATAAGCCACTTCGTTGAACTATCCTTCGTGGCCAGGCCACTTCTGAAAAAGATTTGCAAAACTCAGTGGGCCTTAACTAGTAACATTTTTTTAATAGTATATAATTTTTTTACAAGTAAATATGTTCGTTGCCACAGCCTCAAGTGGCTCAAGGAGTCAAGTAAATCCTTTACACAGGAGGGTGGTATGAACTTATGAACCTCGGTGCAATGTGTGAACATCACCACAAAGGAAACAAAGGCCGTGATATTTATAGGCCGTAACGAGTTTATTCAACCAACTAGGAACCCAGCATTCTCGATTGCCAATTGTTTATGCAGGTAGAGCATGGTGGGTGCTTAAAACAAATCACAAAATGAAGCATTGTGCCAGTTATTGAATGGTTGATGCTTCGATAACACTGAACAGAAGGGACATTTGTGAAGGCACGTCGAAAGCGTACGGGGACATGACAGTGTGTACCAGAAGTGGAATGACGAGAGTTACGTGCTTGCTTTATGTGTGACAATGTCTCAGCTCACCGCTGAAAAATGTTCTAGAGGTCGCTAAATCAATAAATATCACTGTGAGAGTGAAATTCACATAGCGATGGTCACCTGTTTCCCAAAATCGAAGGAGCACCTGAGCTCAAGGAAGCTGTGTAGGGGATACATGAATGGGCTAGAAGAATTATATTTTTAAAATAATTAAAAAAGCTTCAAAAACGATATGAAATAAGCATTGTTAAAGAGGGTGACCTGTATGACAAACCTTAATGGTGTGTGTATGTGCTTTGTGTACACGTTTGGCTCAGAACCTGTTTATATAACGTATACGTATCGAGAAACATTGATTTTTACAGACATGATTCAACGCCCGCATCTGGAACATAAGGACCACATTAATCTATGAATTTATTTCATCGTTACATCCCTGCCATGCAACTGTTGTAAGGTATGATGCCTTTGGTGCGATGAATAGGATCTGAAGGAAGGAAATTATTATATTATGTCAGTATGTGAGACTGTAAAACACAATTCCTTGTGCCTGCAGGTAAGTTAGCTTCTGATCCTGCACAAGTGACCAAATGTTGACAAACGTGGTCCCATTGGTACCAGAATGACTGTTGAAAGGTTAGAGGACAACGCAATTGGTTAAATTTCGATTTAAAGCTTTCGTGACTGCAGGGATTCATCTTGGTTCTTTCGGTAAAGTCACGTAGAAGGAAAATAATAAAATAATACAAATAAAACATAATAAAATAATTCTCACGACGTTTCGGCCACAACGCAAGCAGCCGTCTTCAGGTGGAAAACAGGTCTGAAGACGGCTGCTTGTGTTGTGGCCGAAACGTCGTGAGAATTATTTTATTATGTTTTATTTTTATTATTTTATTATTAGACAGAGACTCTGTCTACTTGACAGACCTGTTCTCCACCTGAAGACGGCTGCTTGCGTTATTTTCCTTCTACGTGACTTTACCGAAAGAACCAAGAAAACGCAATTGGTTGTTTCACCT